CCCCAGGTCTAGAGTCAGAAGGACACACTCTCCTACCAGCATGATGGGGCCCAGCACTCACTTGCGAAGCAGGCTGAGGCGCAGGGTGCTCTCATTGCTGGAGCAGTCGCTGAGGTTCAGGCGAGTGGGGCCGCTCTTGCTTCTCTCCACCCGGATGAGGGCTTGGACCTCAGTGTGCATTTGGAACTCCACTATTGTCTTGATCAGTGGCCTGTGGGGACAACATCAGTGAGAATAGGTGCTGCTGAAGTCTGTGTGGGAGCCACAGCTGTCTGTCTGTTCTTACTCTCTCTTTTACTGGTTCCCATCATCCCTCCCACATCTGGAGTCCTGGAGTTCTCTCCTGATCTCACCGCTTATGGATGCCACATGAGTCCAAGTCACACACTGTGTCCTACTCGGATGTCCCCTGAGTCCTCAGGTACAACAGCAGTGGATTCCACATTGTTCCCCGGCCTGCCTCTTTCAAACCTTGTTGCCTTGGCTGCTGGCTGTTCCTCCCGGATTGTTGTGGGAGCAGACCCTGAAGTCATCCTTGGTCTCTCTCTCTCCATATCCAACTCGCAGGAATCCCTGTTGTTTCTGCCTGCTTCCAACTCAGCAAGAATCTGTTTACTCCTCTGCTCATTGGTCCCAAACCTGGGCCTCAACCATCTCTGTCTCCTCTTGAGCTGTTGCAGGACCTTCCATGTGGCATTCCTGCCTCCACTCTGTGGCACACTGTTTTCTCCTTAGCTCAGACCGTCTGTTGCTCTTGGCCTTCATACTTCATTAAAGCCGAGTTCTCCTCACACAAGGCTCTGTGCTATCAGTCCTCACTGGCTTGCTGAACTCGTCTCTAACCACTCCCCACACCTTCTCTTTGTCATTCCTGCCTCAGGGCCTTTGCACTTGCTCTGCTAACTTTGGGGTTTGTTTCTAGGTATCTGCATGGAGTGGGAAGATCGAGTAGATGAAATTGTTAGGTTAGCTGTGTCTGATTCAGGGGATACTCACGTGTTTAATCCAGCTACCATGTCCAGGGGGATTCTGACTACCAGCTCCTGGTCATAGGTTGAAGGCTCCACAACCAGCTGGAGGATGTTAGCGGAGGTGACCTTCATCCTGAACAGGACGGAGGGAGATGAGAATCATGTTCACACTCAGATGAGTGTCATCCCAAGCCTGCTCCCATCCTTTCCTCTGGCTTCCTCACCCCTGAGCAGAACCTGGACCCCAAGCCTAGTTTACTAATCCTTTCCATCATGGCCCTCCCTCTGTCTCACCCCTTCACCCTCACTTGACTCTTTTCAGGTTCCTTGGCTTTTAGCCTCAGCCTGTTGGGCTGACAGTAAGCTCCTCTGTGACCTGATCCTACTGTCCTGTCATTCTTTGCTGTTGGGGTTTGAATCGCAATCATTCTGAGTGACTCTTGTCCCTCCATAGTTCTGCTCCACTTGCCCCTTTGCCTGAAATGTCAGTTTCTTGTTGTCCCTGGCTTAGCCATGACTTCTACTTCCAGGCTCCAGCACTCATCCACCTGGGGCCACCTTCCTATGTGGCTGCCCTCTTAGAGGTACCAGTGACACTGCCTAGTGGTCACCACTAGCTATTCTGGAGGCTTTTCAAAAGAGGGACTTAGTCTGGTCCATCTTCACTACTGTCTGTTGACAGACAGGTGAACAAGCAGCATACGTAGGCAGAGGTGTGGGGAAGAGATGGCTCCCAGTGCTGTCAGGCCCACTCACCAGACGATATATCTCAGAACGGTGCGCAAGAGATTGTCCAGTATGGGGATTCTGCCAGACTTATCTTGCATGGCTCTGAGTAGTGGCAGTTCCTGGAGGATGGCAGTGGCATCGTGGTCCTCCAGTGCCTGGGTCAGGCCTGCAGAAAGATGTAGGGATTAGACGTCAAGAGGAGGACCAGGGAAAGTAGCCTAGCAGTGGCTCCATGTTGAGGGTAGCCATCACTCAGGACCCCTTGGATCTGACATGAGGTGAAGGCTCTGCCCTTTCAGCCTTATTATCTTCACCATGTAGATGTGCCCTGGAGGGTGGTTTCCCTGGGTGGACAGTGAGGCTGGAGATAATGGGAACCGTCACACTCAGAATGTTGCCAGTTACTGCTGGGATGCTGGACCTGTGTCTTCCTTCTCCCTAGCTAGCAAGAAATACTAGGCCACACCTGATCACAATCTTCTGTCACTCTCACTGTTCACCCTATTGTCCAATGTGCCTTAGGTGCAGAGCAGAGGAAGGAACAAATGGAAACAAGGCCCTGGGGCTGGTCCCTGCTGGCTTTTCACCAGTGGCCAGAGCCCATTTCATAGGCAGTGTGCCGCAGCTGTGCCAGCCAGTGTTTCAGAGCCCCCGTGGCATTCCTATCAAGCATCTGCCTGTGCTAATGGGGCTGGACCCATTACATTTTATCTTTGCCAGCTGGCAGTCTTAGACCCTATTTGTATCGGCTTTCAAGAGACACGGAGTGGAAAGTTCCCGAAGCATACCTCCCTATCAGTCCCTGTGGTGTCACTGCCCAGGCAATGTTCAGTTGCCAGTCAACAGGGCTCCTGAAGGCTGAGAGTAAATTTTGGGGGCCCCTGGCAAGCTTCCAGGGGCCACCTAGAGATGACCCCCCCCCCAGAGATAAAACAACTTCTCCCTCCAGGGACATCATCCAAAGGATGTCATCAGCTCAGGACAGGTGTGTGCTCCGCAGCTTCTGTTTGCCAGCAGCAGGTCAGCGCTGGCCTAGCACAACCTAGCAAGCTCCTCTCCACCAAACAATGACTCATACCCAGTCCCCTGAGGCCTGGGATGGGGTCTCCAATTCTGAGTTTGTTCTGTCCTTGGGTGCCACCTCTTTTCTGGGTACCCTTTGAAGTTTTTTCCCCCTCTTAGGCAAATCCTCCTTCTTCGATGTCCCATTACTCTTCTTTACATTAAACAACCCACCACAGGTTTATGGCGTGGCTTTTGTCTTCTGATAGAGTTAATAATACAGTTTCCTTGTGGCTCCTGGTGCTCAGTGGTCACTTGCTTGGGTAGGCCCACTGACTCCCCTGCAGGGGATCCTGGGAATCTCCTCTCAAATTATCATTAGTAATAACTCCTTGGCTGCAGACTTTCACCCGTGGCTGCTTACCCTAAGGGCCCCCCATAGTTCACATACCACATGCTTGAGAATCATTGGACTAGCCTTAGGTCATTTGCTTCCCTTAGTCTTTAGAACAGTGCTTGTCTACCAGGTAATTGCCACATTGCCGGAGGAGGAGACAGTCAGTGCCTGGGAGGAAGATGCTGCCAAGTGTTCTCTAACACGCAGGACTGTGTCCCATGGCAGAAACTCCTAGAGCGCCTGGGGCTCTCCTCAGGTTCTATGGTATTAGGAGTTCCCATTGGCCCAGGGAGGAAGGCCTTCCCATGTGCTTACAGAGAATAAGCTTAGGTCCAGGACCAGGCCTAGGGTCATGGATCTAGACTAACAAACCCTTGTGTGGGACTGAAGTCACCAGATTCTGCCCACTAGTAGGTGTTTGGAATAATCTCATTTGGGGACATTTTGGCATCATGGGCTCTTGAGATCACACTATCCCAGATCTTTTACCTCAGCCGCTTCTTGTCTCACTCGTGCTTGGGGCTCTACCCCTGCCTGGTATTCTCCTTTGACGAGAAATTCCCTTTGTGGAGAACTGCTCCATCTGCCCCTTGCTCTAAGGTGCTGAGAGGCCTAGGGGCTCATGACTTACGGTTCTTGATGACTTCTGGGCCAAGGTTGAGCACTGCAGGGGGTTGGAGGTTAGCTTGGATCAGTGTGGCTCCCAGAAAACCACAGAGGAGGGTGACAATCCATGGGCTGGCCATCTTCCTGGGTGTCACTGAGAAGTAGGCAGCCGGTAGTAGGGCCTGTAGTAAGCACAAGAATCCTGCTAGTTGGACAGAGGGGCCTGTGGGAGGCACATAATGCCTGGTATCCTGGGGCACAGTGTCCAGGAGAGACATTCAGGGCAGTAGTTAAGAACCAAGACTTAGCTGTTCATCCTTGAGTCATCAGCTAAAGCACAGATACCTCTGTGTTTCAGGGTTCTCCTCTGGCAAGTGGGCACGAGGAAGCTTCGCTTCACAGAGTCTGTGAGATTAACAGTATCTAGAAATTATTCAGTGTGTCATCTTTCCCACAGGAAGAACTTGGCAGACATTGGCCATTTCCTTGCAGAAAACTCAAAAGGGTCTCCAGAAGTCTGGCTCCAGATTGTCCAGTCTCTCAGAGGCCATTCATTCACTCAGCAATTAGGAATGAAGCACCATAGCCAGCCTCTGTGCTGGGCGTAAGGACACAGGAGCAGCCCTCATTTTGAGCAATAATTAAAGCAGCCATTTCTTGTTCTTCCTCCACTTTTACCTATGGTACTTTCTGGGAGAAGTGCTGTGGTGCTGGGGTGTCTGTCCCTTGACAACCTGTCACCCTCACAGGGCAGAGAGGTGGCACCTCAGCCCTGGTCAGTCTTCCTGCCCACTCTCCTTACATGGGGCTTCAGATTTCCACAGATCGTCTTGTTTAGAGAAAAGGGAGGCATGGCCCTTGGGACCCGTGTGCCCTTGCTTGCCTCAGAATGTGGGTTTCTTGTCACCAAAGACAAATGTGGCACTGGGTGATGTGTCTGTTGTGGAATGTCTGTGTGGAGACACTGTAGTCAAATCAGAGTTCTTGACCAGGCAGTGCATTCTGGGAGGGAGGACCTTGCTGCCTGCTCCTGACTGTGTCCTTACACCCATCACAGAGGCTGGCTGTGGTGCTTCATACATAATTGCTGGTGAATGAATGGCCTCTGAGAGGCTGTGGACAAACTGAGCCAGCCTTCTGGAGATCCTTATGAAGCCACAGGATCCTCATCCCTGAGTGTCAGCAGCCTGAGGGGGAAGGGGACATGTCATGAGCCTGGGAGTCAGATAGACTCCAGTAGGAGGCCTTCTTCTAAGGCTGGCTCGGTGAACGCAGACGAGTGACTTAACCTTTCAAAGTCTCTGAGCGGCTGGCTGACGGGAGATGATGTTAGCACTCAGGAGGGCAGTTGGGAGTGTGAATGCATCCACGGCCTGATATTGCCCATGAATGCTATTGAGCCTGACAATGAAGATGGTGATCACTGATCCTGGGATCTGAGGAAACAATCCCACAAAGCCAGAGGAGAGCTGACAACTTGTATTGGTTGATGAGGCAAGCATTCCAGTGTCTTTGTCTTCCAAACACTTTGGACCCTGTCTGCCCCCTTCTCTAGCCCATTGCTCAGCCTCCTGATCAGAGGCTTTTTGAACCCAGAACCTGTATCGTTGCCCCTTCTGGGAGATACTGTCTCCCCCAAATCCCAGCCTGTGCCCATCCACCATTTGTTCCTTATCTTCTGCCCCCTTCATGGACCCACTATGTGGTCCAAAGCCCCTGTCCTCACTATGGACACACTATGTGGCTCACAGTTCCTGCCCTCTTCCTGGACCCACTGTTTATAGACCCCCGCTCTGTGTATAGACCCTCACATGGTCCTCAATCCCTGTCCTTGTCGTGCACTCACTACATGGTCCTCCACCCCTGCCTTCTTTATAGACCCACTATGTGTTCTATACTCTTTGTCCTCATCCTGGACCTACTATGTAATCCTCAATCCTTCTTTTTTTTCATGGATGCCTTTTGTTCCTCTCCAGCATACACTCAGCTTCTCATCTTGCATGCCATCTCTTCCAGGAAGGCTTCTCTGACTCTTTCTCTGGTCCTGGGCCTTCCTTAAACACAGTAAGCCTACAGTGGTCACCTGGGAGTTCTTTGAGGGTTGCTGTGATGGATGCTTCTCTTTGTCCCCAGCAACAGCTCAGCACACACAGACATTGCACAGCCACTGTGTGCAGAGTGGTTTGCAGTCCTAGACTGAGGATTGGAAAAGACCAACCTGCCTTATGCTTCCATCTTTGTTCATGGCTTTTTTTGGATGAGAACAGAGCACCTCCCTGCCTCTCGAGTTGATTCCAGAAACCATAGCTGACAGGGTCACTATTAGGCTCAACTCTTGCCCAGAAGTTAGGCTAACCTCAGCGAGTCTTCCCTGTGAGGACCTTCCTGACTGTCCAGACTTCTAGACCCTCCTCCTCATGTTTTACCTGAATGTGCTGGAGCCCTGGGTCCACCTGCTCCTCTCCTGGGTGGTAGGTTTAGAGACCCAGCCTTATATCTTGCATCCAGACTTGGGCAGCCACCCTGAGCATGTGGGCCAAGACCTCAGGCTGGGCCAAGGTCTCCAAGGTAAATATTTGCAGCTCTTGGTGAACCAAAGCCCTTCCTGGAAGCAGTCTGAGAACTCCAGCTTCCTGAGGTTTGGAGAAAGAGGGTCCAAGCTGGCTGGAGAGACAGAGGGAGCACCAGGATGTATGGTAGGCACGCAGCAAGCCTTACAAGGGCTCCCTGCATCCTAGGAAGTCACTGTCACAGGTCTTCGCAACCTGTCACTGCGTAGTGGTCTTCGCAACCTCTATGGTCAGAAGAGTGAGGATCCCCAGTGGATAAGAAGGCAGTTTGGTTTAATATGACTCTGTAGCCGGTGTTGGTTCAAACTTCTGAAATCTGATCTGAGTAGGTTATTTTAGGCATATTTAAGGACAGCACAATTTGGTGAAAACTTATTTGGTGATAGTGAAATCAATTTCACATCCACAGCAAAGCGTACGTAAGTGTCCCTGAGGAGCCAAGTAAGCTAAATGAAGATCAGTCATGACTGCATTGGAACGCTTCTGAAGTCTATAAAGATAGCTTCTGTAGATTGACTGAGGAAAACAAATTTACAATAAGGGTCTTGGGGAGGATCTGGTGCCAGAAAAGTCCCTAGCCACACAGATAGAGCAAAGGTCACCAGGCTAATAAACATGTCTTCTCTCAGGGTGGATTGCAGGCTATGCATTTCTTTCCCTGAAGGAACACCCTGTGTGTTTACCATTTGAGGTTCCTCTAGTGTATATCTGTGAGCACAAGGACCTCCATGCCTCCTACAGGGCCATGATGAGCGTAGTAGCAGATGAACGAACATCTCTGACATGCCAGACATTGACTTACGTTTTCCACCAGTTAGGTTGAAGGGTATCCTCCTCATGCATGGTCAGCCAGTCATCCTGCTATTAGTGAGGAGGAACTAGTCTCTACAGTCAGCAAACAGAAGAGCCATGAGTCCAAGCAGAAACCTGGCTTCAAAAGCCATCTGGGGACATCTCCACAGCATGGTAGAAGCAGGATGTGTGTTAGGGGACAAAGCAGGTTCAAGCCCTGGCTTCACCTTCTTCACTCAGAGTGACTCGGGACTCTGAGCCTCTCAGTTTCCATCCATGAAATGGGCATACTCAAGCTCCTCTCTCTTACAGGGCACATGGCCGGGGACCTGGTCTACTCACAGGAATGCTCAGGGGCAGTGCGTTTGGGGCTGTCTTCATTGTCACTGCTTACAACTCGATGAGATTTGTAGAGAAGTGATTAGATGGTTTAGTCAGGGAAACCACCTGGAAGGGAGGGACACACAGCCTTGCCCATCACATTCACTTCCATGCATCAAGGACACCACATCTCTGCTCACTGATTCCTTTAAGAGAATAGGTGTGAACCCCTCCCCCACCCCGCTACCTCTTTGCTATGCTTCCCTGGGCAAGGGGGCTTCACCTCTCAGGGCCTCTGGAACTGACTTGGTACAGTGGCGGTTCATGGTAGTGCTGTCTACCAGGCTGAGCTATGGGCCACATGCTCTTGTCACAGGTCTTGTCACAGGTTCATTTATACCGCCAGGAAGGCAGTGGATGTTTGTGGAGGTAAAGAATAATGAGCGATGGACCATGGGCCCAGGGACAAGCTTGAACTGGCCAGAGGGACCCTCGCGACCCTTGCCTGGACACTGGGAGGTGTCACTCAGCTATACAGCGCCAGGTGGGAATTAACAATTCTGCCTTTTCCAGGATCATTGGAGGCTCAGCAGATAGTGATTTGTTCAAGGTCACAGGACCAGGGGTGTCAGGCAGGGGCCTTGAGCCCACTCACTCAGTGCAGGCCATATACTCTCAACCACTCTGCCCTGGTGACTCCTGGTTAATGTTAGAGTCTGTAGGGATATTGATGTGACCTTTGGACACATGTCTTGGCTTCTATCTTGAAATGGTAAACTATGGATTAGGGCTAAGAGATCCACTGTTAAGTCTTGCCCCCATCTGTATAGTGATGAGAGAGGGGCAGTGTCCCTGAGGTCATATAGTCTATGGCTGGTCATGGAGGAAAGTGTGGTTTGCATCCTACCGTGTCTGGAACACTCAGCAGGTCCTCAACACCCAAGGCAAGCTGCTGCAGAGCCAGGGGGCTCCCCGGAAGGACCCTGCCAGTGCCTCAGGCACATGTGCAGAGAGATGTACATCCCTGTTTGGTTCCTCAGCTGCCATGCCTGCTGCCCATGGACAATGCTCCACTGTGGCATAGTGGAGCTGGTGCCAAGGCCAGTGCCCACATCTGCTTCAGCTTCCTGCCATTTGGCTTGGCCTTCTCAGGATTGAATAGGCATCACCAAACTCCTTGGGTTGTATACTTTGTCTCATGTGGTCCTGCCCTGTACCTCTTCTTCTGGTCTCATTTCTCTCAGAACCTCACATTCTTGTGTGCATTCCCTCCCTGGAATTCCTCACACCTCACAAAAAGCTCCCTCGTGGGCCTGGAGAGATAGCTCAGTCAGTGGTTAATAGCACTGGCTGCTCTTACAGAAGATCTGGGTTTGATTCCCAGCATCCACATTTGTACCTGAAGTTCCAGGAAAGCCAACTCTCTCTTGCCCTTTCTGTTCACTGTACACATACTT